CCCCAGCTCCCCCAGGGCGCTGGCGCGTGGCACTCGTCCGCCGTGGCAGCCTGTGCCCTCTGGCCTCCGGCTCGGCGCCGCCGGCAGGAACGGGGCTTAAAGGGACGTCAGAACAGCTCGGCGAGAGAAAGTTGCCGGGCCGTGATCAGCGCTGCCGCGCCTCTGCCGGGCCGCGGCTCCCCAGCTGGCGGGCTGGACGGCGGCCATGGCGCCATCTCACATGGGCTTTTCACTAAAGTAACGCTCATTAACAGCAGAGCGGGTTTCGTCCCGCAAAAGGAAGCGGCGGGTGGTGGCAACCGGGCGGAGGCCTTGGAGCGGACAGACGCAAAGGGACACGAAGTGAGCAGAAACGACTCCAGCGGCTAACAGATGAGCAGAGGGCCCGGCCTGGGGAGGCTCGGGCACAGGAAAGGCACTGACAGCACGCTGTTAATTAGATCAAACACCGGCTAAGAGGCACCGAGAGAGGGGCAGCAGAAGTGGGAGGAAGAGGGACAGATTTATCAGAATGTCAATGGCATTCAACAAAGCAAGGAAAGTCTTTGGCTGGGGTGGAGAGGGCTGGGCAACGAGAGGGTAAGAGGCAATGTCCTGTTTGGGGATATCCTCGGTGAAGCCAAGTCGTGACATGCACTGAAGGGGGGGGGGGGGGCGGGCAGAAGGTAAGGCTGCTCCCAGGCAGGTTCAGTCAAGCCAAATTCAGGGTTAAAGCAGCTTGTCCTATTTATAGTGCTGAGGCCTGGGTGTGGCTAATGGAGGCAAGCACCTAAAAATAAAGCATGTTTATGAGAAAAGGTGCTTTAAGGGGCCCAGCACCAAACCAGCATTATCTCTTGTCAAAGGGAAGAAATTGGTTTCACAACACATAGCGAAATGCAAAATGATAGGCTTGGTATGACCAATAAATATATCATCTAGCAAAATCTCTGTCTGTATGTCTCACTAATGTGTTATATAGGACAAACAGGATTTCATTTACTGGGTTTAACACCAAGTCATTTAGCATGGTCCCGTGAAGCTTCCAGACCCGGGATCCGGAGTAGGATCCAGTCACAGCTTTTGGTTTTACACCCCCTGCCCCCAGCCATCCCCAGATAGACGCAAGGACTAATGAGACCTCTGGCATTAAGGGTAATTTTCGAAGAGTCCAGAAATCCTGCAGCAGCCATAAGGTGGAGAGCAAACACAGACCCTTGGGGATGATGTCAGGCTTCACAAGCTGGGTAAGTTCTGCAAAAGCCTCAGACTGGACAGACATGCTCCCCTATAAACCCACACTAACTCCGCAGACTGATGCGAACAGGAGTGCCGTTCCAGGATATCCTAGTGACTGCGTGGGAAAGCGGCAACGCTCATTCCACGCGACCTTCGCAAGCCCTCTGATGGGAACCACCACGCAGCCTGAGACCTGGCAAAACGACCCAGCCACAAAAGGTCACCATTATGGAGGTGTGAGCAGAGGCGGGGGGGTGGGGGGGGATTTATTCCGGGGGGGAGGCACACAGGCACACATGCGGCCAGGCCTGGCATATCCATTTGCCGAAACGACCGGGAGACAAAGAACTGAAAATGCAGTGACCTCCAAGGTCAATAATGAGCAGCAGGAAGTGTTCGGCAAAGCACAGCGTTCTGCAGACACGACGGGGAAGGGGGGGGGCATACATTAAAAAAAAACAAAAAAAAAAAAACAAACACGAACAGTGACTGGTCAGGCACACATGCAGAGGGCAGACCTGCGGAATTATTAGACATCAGCGATCGACCAACAGGTAGAGGGCCGGCTGAATGCCGTCAGAAACAGGTCGCTTAGGCGGAGAGTGGGAATGGGGCAGCCGGCTGCAGTACCTGTGCCACAAGATGTAAATCCTGTCAACATTTCTGATTCTCACCATTAAGTATTTATGAGCTGCAACATTATCTCCAAAGTGAAGCGACCCCCGCAGGCAGCTCCCGCTCCCCAAATCACTTATTTCAGAAGAAAATAAATAAATAAGGATACCGAAAACGCCTCTGGCCTCCATTATTCGGGGCGTCCAAATTCTAAGTCCAGCCTTTGATCTGTTTGCAGCTCGTGGCTATTTGCATTCTGTAATGAGATCAAACGGGCCGGGCTGCAGCCTCCTTGCTTTAAGAGGCTGGGCACATGCGGGCACCTTGGCTGCATCTCGCGGTCACACATGCGTCTGTCCGCGCGGCTCACCGCCCCTGCGGGGCTGCGGTTGTGTGAGATAAGCTCCGTACCCAGGGTGGTGGCAAACCAAGAGCAAACACCGGTGCTACTTCCCAGTTGCTACAGAGCCACTTACAGTTTACCTTGGCACCTTGTGCTCCGGAGAAACCTTGCAGGGAATTCCTGGGGTGCCGCATGGTTGTGTGTTAGTTTCCTGCGGGGAAGTTGGGGCAGGACAGGATGAAGGCGGGGCCAGAGTCAGCCTGCAGCCGACACAGAGCAGGATATACTGTTACAGAATGCTACACATTAAGCTAATTCTGACACTAATTCAGGCACACTGCTGTCTTCACTGATGACTACAGTCAACGCCTTCATCTCAGGTCATCAACAACCCATCTGAGAATAGGAGAAAAATCAGAGCAGGCAGCACGAGGCATGAGCCGAATCCCCACAAAACCACCTGCTTAAGCTGCCGTTCAGTGGCAAAAACTAGTTGAATAACTGAGGCGTGAGCAGTAATCAGCCTGCTACTATATAACGATGGGAATGCTTTTGAAAACAGTCTTTAAATGAAGATCTAAACACACCTGATCTAATTCATAAACACCACCCCCCCCCCCCCCTCCCCTATTCAGGGCACCCCAGGGCTCAGCTGATGTCATCCTCCAAGGCAGAACCACATCCAGCCGCCTGACCGGATTAAGCTCTGATCTGTATCGGGATTATCGGGCCGCTTGGCAAACGGAGACTTAAACCCTGGAAGATGGCAGGAGCTCTGCAGCGAGCGATAATCCTCTAATACAAACCTGGCTAATGTCTTTAACGGAGGTTTGTGTGTGTTGCTAAGAGATGCCAACTAATACTATTTGGTGTTTTTGGGCTATTCAATTAGGAGCGGGGGGATGGGGGGTGCGAAGGAGAGGAACTCGGAATTAAACCCAATGCAGTGTTGAGACTCGTTAACGTTTCGGAACCTCGTGCCCAGTTCCCATGTCGTAACCCACTGTAGACAAGGATATCCTTCAGACTACCTGAAGAGCACAGTGCAAGTGTTTGGTTTTGTGTTTGGCTTTCAGTGCCCAAGCCAGACTTGCAAATCCAGGACTATAGCTAAGAGTTGGGGCTGACTGTACAGTTCAGTAGGCAGCCGTGACGTCTAACCGCAAACTGGGAGTCCATTCCGCAGCAGAGGGGCCTCTGGCGGTTTTCCTTAACGAGTCAGAGCCGGCCGCTTGTTAGCCGGCCCTCACACAGTCACACTCTGGGGGCTCTAAGCCTGCCAGGTGAGCGACCCACTTCATTAGCCTGGGGGAAACGGCCACTGCACTAAGAGCTGGCAGGAGGATGTCCTGGCCCCGCGAGCCCACACTCGGGTTCCTCAAGGCAGGTGACATCACCACCAGAGCGAGCCGCAAAGCGATGGCAACTTCAGAGCCAGCCCCGCTGTCACTGCTCAGGCCAGCGTGGGCTAATTACGGGAGGCCACATGCCTTTTTTCGGCTGCAGTACCACAAACTCCTCCTGAGAGCCGGAGAGGACGCGCTACAGCTTTATCCGCGGAATCTAATTGCTGGCTCACGGAGGCCGTGCGCATATCCGCCTGCCTAATACTGCTTTAATGTTTTTTGACCTTGATAAATTCTCTTCTCTTATTGACAGCGCTTATTGATATTTCTTAAAAGAGCTGGCTAATGGAGTCCTATTGAGATGATTAAATGAGTTGTCTCTGCTTGGATTAGCCAGGCTTCATCTCCTGCGCTCAGCCTGTATTATCATAGGGAGCAGACGAGTGCGTGCGCTGGGTTGGAAATGTCTGCCGCCGCCGTCTCCGGGGAAGCGTGGGGAGGGCTGGGGGAGCAGTAATGCGCCCTGATCCCCCCCCCCCCCCCCCCCATACACACCGACACAACACACAAACACCCACAAAATCATCTATTTTCCACAGATACTCACACCCTGAAAATCAGCTTTCCCCTTCAGACAGACAGACAGACACAAACACAAACATACACACATGCACACACACGCACGCACACACCCAGCGTCAGCCTTTGAAGATGTACAAACAAAGCTGGAGACGGGCGAGATGGTGAAGACAAAAAGGAAAGATAGAGTAAGGGGAAGCAGGACTTCATTAAGGAAGCGTAGTGATCAAGAGCGCAGCAGCTACATGCTGTACCCAGACCCCATCTCACCCCTCTCCAATTAAAAACACTCCTGCTTAATTACACACCAACTCAAAGAAAACACGACTGACGTTTGAAGGAAACGACATTTTCAAAAAGTCTAATAAAGCCCAAGCTCGCAGAACGCTATGAAGACAGATCTGAGGACCCTGGACTATTCTCGTGACCCTGAGAAGCCCCACAGGGGCTAAAGGCAGATACTATGAAAGACAAAGGTCTCATCACACTGGTGAAGACACCACAAAACTGTCAATTCCTCTGTCTGAGCAGCTGCACTGCACTCCCCACTTCCCTGACCACTTCCCCTTGGTTTCAGGTCATTCACGGCTACATGACAAGAGCGTTCTGCCCCTAGAGCTCCGTTTGTGGCTGCTACACTCACCCTTTGTACTCCTGCAGATGCCCACCGGAGGTCTGACTGCTTACAAGCATCACTGCGACACTTGGGCTGCCTTTTCTCACTCCCGCATTCACACCAATCCTCAAAGGACTCAGCTGATACAGACAGAAGACTTTCTGAACATCTGCCATACTTCGCCTCGAGGACAAAACTAAGTCGTCTTTTCCAAACCAACGCCAGACCGCAAAAAAAACAGCTAAGCACCCTCCAGCCTTTCCACCAGAAGAGGTCCCCTCACCTTCCACCCGCTGCCCGCCTCCCTGTAGTAGGGGAAGTTGTCGCAGATCCACTGGTAGATCTCGCTGAGGGTCATCTTCTTCTTTGGCGAGCTGTTGATGGCGAAGGTGATGAGGCTGGCATAGCTGTAGGGCGGCTTGCCGTCCTTGTGCTGCTGCACCTCCTCCTGGTCCAGCGTGGTGCTGGGGTCCAGCAGGGCTCCCTTCTTAGGCCCACCAGGGCCGTGGGTGCCCTGGGTGTCCGCCTTCTGGATGGCGGCCCGCATGGTCAGCTGCGGCAGCCAGTCCATGGAGGTCAGGCTGCTCTCCAACTCCGACGTCATGGTGAGTGGGGAGGCAGAGGGAGCGGGGGGCGTGGAGGAGGGGGGAGGGGGGGCTCCCTCGGCTCACAGCACTGTCGACGTGCCTCTTCACTCCACACGCGGTCTGGAAAAGCAGAAGGGGCGTGTTAAGCTACAAAGACGGGAACACATCACGGATGGGTCCCGCCCAAAAGCAGGCTGCCCAATCACAACAGTCTATGTACTCAACTTGCACACTTTCACACAGTTCGTGACTCAACCCTCTATTTTTTATTAACTGGCCCTCAAGGCTGAGTTAGTGATGGGGACCCACACGCCCACACTACCAGGCACGGCAGAAAGGCTCCATTCCGGAGCAAATGCAGGGCAGGACGCGTTAAAACACCACTCAGCGCTGAGCCTCAGGGCGCGCAGTCTGGCTCATTACACACATGCATGCGCACAAACACAAACATGCACATACAAACACATGCACACATTCAGTTCATACATTCCTACCACTGTAGGGATTCATTTCTGTGGGCATAACTCTATTCCAAACTATGATAACCCTAACCTTTACTCAGCCCTAACCATAAGTAACAAAACAAAACACTTTTGGCTATTTTAGTTATTTGATTGCATTCGCAGATTTATATAAAATTGAGGTTTACATTGTGAGAACATCAAAAAAAAAAATGCTAAAATGAGTTTTACCACCTTACTGGGACATTTAGTCCCCACAATGTGGCCAATGCAAACCCGCAGAAACACAAACACATGCACTCACCCCCTGCAACCAGGCTGAACCCCACCCAGCCGCCTACCCTGTCATACTCGCTCCAGCTGACTCATATCTGTAACCGGACCTGCTGGGTGAGTAAATGCTGGGGAATTGTTTTCACAACTGCCGCACGAATCGGGGAAAGGCCAGGAGGAATCCCGACCAACACCCCTTCCCTCCCCAAGAGTGTCTTGGGCTGCGGCCTTGGCCGCTCCTCACGGTGCACCCCCCACTATTTTTATAGGGAAAAAGGCTGGAGACTGGGGCACAAGCTCGACACAGCAGACCTCCCACCAGGAGAACAGCTGAAAGACGACTAGGTCCATGAAAGCAGGTGTGCACCATCTCTGCAGCATACCACACCGCCCCCACCACTACTCCGTGTCTAAAGAGTCACAGCAGATCTGCATGACCAATCTCTTCATACAGGCCCACGGAACGTAAGAGTCACCTGGGAATGCTCACCCAACGTGCTCACCCAACGTGCTCACCCAACGTGCTCACCCAACGTGCTCACCCAACGTGCGACCAGCTAATGGTGCGTCAGGGCGCCTTCTCGCTCAGACACGGGGTGTCCTCTCCGATTTATGACGCAGAATTCCATTCACCAAGCTGAGAAGTCCAGGGAGGAGTCACGTCCGTGCTTCCACATGAGTCACTGCGAGCATAGCTCTCACAAACCCGGTTCCTCAGCAGAATGACGAGCAAAAAACTTGGGAGTCAGGCAGCCTCGCGGTTCCACAGCAGAATGGCAAAAAAAAACAAAAAAAAAACAGCTCTTTAAGAGACAGTGATGTGCCGTTTGCCTGGCATTTTATCATGAGCCCTCCCACCCCATTCATAAAAAGGCAATGTCCACAAGGGGAGCCAATGATCTGGAACATCTGTGTGTGGAGACAAACACAGTGGAATAGCCCACGGCCTCTGCTCTGATGTTGTTTCATCCCCGGACATAGTACACCAATGCTGGTTATTGGTGTCAGGGAGGCCATACTCCTGCCATTCACATCACAGTCAGAAAAACAAGAACCCACTGTTCTAACCATGTCGGTGGTTGGGGGGGGACAATCCACTGAGTGGGATGAATGAAATACACAGAAGTTGCATCACCATGCAGATACACTGCTAACCCAAAAATTGCCAGGCTAACTGCAGAGCCAGGATGAACAGCAGCTAGAGAGAGAGATGGGGGAGGGGAGAAAATTACTTGGGAGATAGGAATAGCATTCGCCTTCACTGTGGCAGGAGCAGCATTTACATGGATTACCTTCAAGTGTTTCATCTAAAATCTGAGTAAGTAGCAGCATGATTCCGATTCATTTTCACATCCCGTTCACCGCAGAGTTATTTGCTATGTTGGTAAGACTCTGCTCTCTGTAAAGGGATTAAGCAGCAGGGAGCAGCCCTACAATTAAGAAACCAACAAAAGGCACATTTGCAGTAATGAGAAGCACACAGCAGATCAGTGTCCTCAGCACATCCAGGCATTAAACAGATCCCTACAAAACAGAACAGCTTTTCCAAAGAAGAAATATCACAGTAGTGACATGTAATTGTAATTTCTCCTCTAATTTCACTTCCGAAAGGCACAGAGATGGACAGCAGACACCTGCCTTCCCTCCTTCTGAGCCTGGAGATCAAAGAGCCGTCGAACAGAGCAGACACATGAGCACTATTGAGACACGAATCATGATTATATATTAATCAAGATGGTGCCATGACCACTACAAGCCTCTGTATCCACTGGAGGCGGCTACAAAAGGGCGGGGAGAATAATCCTGGAGAACATACCAAAAACACGTAAGGTATATGAACTGACAGAAAGGCTGCATCCAGCTGACATATATCTCCCTTTGTCCAAACAGCACCTGAGAATCACAGGAAGTTACAGGAAGGCACCTGTCTTCGTAAAGGCCCCTTTCAGAAGAAGCAGGAGTTCATCGCTTAATCAGCTCAGCAATCCTACTCCAATGAGTCACCCTATTGTGCAGACTATCAAGCCCGGTTCCATGGAATCAGTCCTTCAGTCCTCCCTTCATCTCCAGCTTCACTCTCCTCAATTACAAGTTGGACGAGTTTATCGCTGCTGTAAGGCAGTGTTTCTGAATTCGGACCTTGGGGACCTACAGCTAGTACACGTTTTTGCTCCGTCGGAGCTCCCAAGCACACAGTTCACATTTTTGCTCCTTCCTATGGGAGGTGGAAGGGAGCAAAAACATGGACTGTCTGTGGGTCTCCAAAGACTGGACTGGGGAACAATGCTGTAAGGATATCAAACCCCATTCCCATCTCAGGTGAGTCACCAAAGGTAAATATTAATATTGATCTATCAAAATATTTTAAGACAATATGCTTTTTTATTTGACCAAGCTGTTTGGCTGCTATCAAGCCTCAACATTTAACAAAAGAAATATTAAAAGTCTTCAGTGCAAATTAAGCATACCTGTCAGTAAATCAATGCTAAAACAAGCATGATTGAACATCTACGGCACAGATGTTTGTCATCGCTAATTAGCACCATAATATATGCCACTCTTATAATTGCAAATGTCACATGGGAGCCGGCCTTCCCATTCACGATCCCAACATCAGCGACAGCACAACCCAGAAACAGGTTGCGGCACCTTGAGCCGGAGTCAGGACTCGTGTGACAGGGCAGCGGAGAGAGCGCCTTGCAGGAGGGAAGCCTCTCACCTCTGCCTCTTTCAGTGGGAGATTCCTCACTTTTTCCACCCCTCCGGGTGAGAGCTTAGGAAGGTGTTTCAGACCTGCAAACTGAAATACCTCAGTCTTTCTTCTGCGGTTCCACATGACACTTGTAATCAGACAGCACGGGAGCCCAGACTCATCTCCATTAAAAGGAAAAAAGGTAATGGCAGAGGCTTTAAATGTCAGTCTTCCCTCTCCATTAAAGGCTTAATGGTTCCACTGAAACCACCCAAAGGAAGAGAACATTAATTAGCCAGTCATTATTTCCAACACTGTGCTTCTTTATTTATTTATCTATTTTTTTTAAACGATGTGTCAATTGTTGCCATTTGAGCATCAGCACTGAAGGTGTTTGCCCAGATTGGGGGGGGGGGGGTGGTTTAGCCAAAAAGGAATTACAACCAACACCCCCCACCCCCAACACTACATTACCACAACTGTACCCAGCTCCCCAAGGAATTACAAACCCCTCCAATCAAGCTCTGCAAGTGTGCATCTGAATCAGAACATAAATACAGTGACTGCAAATAACCAGTGGGGGGGCACTGCTAAAGAATTGATGCCTGCCATGTACTCAGGGCGCCAAACCCCCTTTGTAGTAGTGGTCAGGCTTGAGCTGAGCCCCCCCCCCATCTCTGAAAAATGCACACTCAGACACAGAATGCACAGTAAGGCCAATAAACCTCCCAAACACACCAGGAGGGATGTGAATTTATACGATGGTAATTACACCTCGTGAGGATGTTGGGCACTCCTCTCCGTGCTGGGGGGGCAGCGGCATGCAGAGATGCATGTCATGGCCATTCTCCAGGGAGCGGAGAAAGCAGCTCCCGTGATTGAAGGTATCTGGCCTGAGTCACAGCTCGCTGTTCACTACACCGACGGATCCAGACCCAGCAAAAGCTCATCACAGGGAGAGACCCAGGGCAAGAGACTGCACACACCCTATTCCTGAGAACTGTCCCTCAGCCAGTGTCTCCCCTGTGCACCTCGCAGAGCAATGAGAATCACCTCACCAGTATTAAAGATAAATCACTTTCAATCACAGCCTCTTTGAGGTAGCATTCAGGTAGAAGCTCAGCTGTTTCCAGGCTCCACTCCATCACATAAAAACTTCACCCAAGTTCAACCTGGCAGGCACTGCCAAATATCATAGACATAAATGACACACCCATCCCCTAAAATAAAAAACCACACCACTGACATAAGAATAAGGTTTCATTAGCTGAACTGGCATCGGTTCAAACAGATCTCCCTGCTTTGTCTCCAACGCCACGCCACCCGTCCTCTGCCGGGCTTTGACACACAGGCTATAATTAAAAGCGTTTTACATTATTTGCATTAATCAATATCCAATCTCAGAAATAATTAACGGCATATTAAATGTTTTTCCGCCTCACAGACCTGGGTGCCACATCGTCATTAAGCTGATAAAGGCTGCGCTCGGAGAGCTGCAGCTGAAGCCTTTCCATGCAGATCTCGCATCAGTCCTCATGCGGCAATGTGCCGTTCGTGTCTCCCCCCCACCCCCCGAGCCTGAGGAGGGGGAGAAGGGAGTGGCTGAAGCAGGGGTCGGAGAGGTCTGGCAAGGCGGCACCAAGAGGAACCGACCTTGATAGAGCAGAGGTGGATACCCTGGCCTTTGACACGTG